ATTATGGAATACCTTCTTTTAAAATGATTAGTAAAATGCTTAAGATAAGGTATTTGGCTGTCCCCTTCACTTGTAGGCATTTGGATAAGACTATGCATTTGTTGTTCTCTTTGTGTGCCTTCAAGTCATTTCTGACTTACGGTGACCATAAAATGACCCTTTCATGGGGGGGGGGTGGAAGAATTTGTTCAGAAGGGGTTTGCCTTTGTCTTCCTCTGAGGATGAGAGAGTGGGACTTGCCCAAGGTCACCCAGTAGGTTTCCACAGCCAAGCGGCTATTTAAACCCAGGTCTCCCAGTGTCCTAGACCAACACTCAGATCACAACACCATTCTGGCTCTCAAAACTGTTCATAGAAGTGCTATTTTAAGTGGTGGTCCTTGGACTCTTGCTAGTTTACAATCCATAATTTGCCAGTCTACCAGAAGTTTCCAAGAATGGGCATAAATATGAGACTGGCACATTTTTTAAAAAAATACCAGTTCCTCCACATCAGAAAGCCTTCAAAGGACTGATGCACAATATCAGATTATTGCAATTCGTGGTCTTAGGTTTTTTCTCAGTTATTTTATGAGAATGAGTGTGGCATGTGTATCCTAGAAACTATGGAGAACTAGTGGAGACACAATCATTTTCTCGGTTTTAGTAATGTTCAGGCTTTCTTCTGTTTTTATGGAGAGTAGAGTTGCCTGTTCCTCAAATTGAAAACAAAAACAGGACCCTTACAGTTCAGGGTTATATGGCTCCATTTGCAGGAAAAACTAAAGAAAAAATGAAATTTAAACAAGTAAATTCAGTTTGTAATTATTTTCTGGATTAACTGCACTTTTAATACAAGAAACATTATAATTGTATGCCAACCAAATTATACAGAACACATTTGCTCTTCCTAAAGTAACAAATTGACTTTTAATGTGTAAAGGGTGCTATCTTTTCCCATTTTTTTTCTATTTGTCCTAAAATGTCAATGTTTTCCAAATAATAATAATGATAATAATATCGGAAAATGGTTTTCTTCCATGGCTTCACTATTTCCAGAAATTTTACATTCAGCTTACAATCTGCATGTTGGAGAAGTGTCACCATTAGTATCCTGTCACTGCCAGCTGTGCAAAATGTTTGTATTCTAGAATGACTGCCAAGAGTGACACACACACACATGAGTTTTAATGACCTACACCTCCTCCCTCAGAGTACAAGCTTTCTGCTCTCTCTCTCTCTCTCTCTCTATCTCTCTGTCTTTTGTTTACAAGTTCACACTTTCATGATCTCCAGTTGGGGGAGGTTGCAAATGTATACAGTTTTGAACTTCAGACATGTCTTTTAGTTCAGCTGGTCCATTCTCCTCTTTGACTTCTGTCTCTGTGTTCTCATTTGTTTGGTTCCTCTGTTGTTTACTTAAAATAAGGAGTACAAATACACAAGGGATGTAGGAGACTCCACGGAGAATTGCTGGCACACCCAGGTAGAGCAATCTGGAATACAATTTAAATGGCCTTAATATACTGTGACTATTATCTGGCAGGCAAAACAGACTCTGTTGCACACATGAAGCAACCTATTGTTTTTCTAATATACACTACCATACTTAACAGCATTTACATGAAACATAGGGGGTATTAAAAGCAAGTATGAGGGGATTTACAGGACTGTATGGGTAGTTCCATTGCCTATTATCTGTGGATCTTGCTCTGAGCAGGGAAATGTTACTTTTTATGTACTGCCAACTTCACAGTCCCCACAGCTCCCTTGAGATCTGGAGAACTGTAGTGGGGGGCAGGATGCAACCACAACAAAGGATTTTTACATGAATGAGCTCGACATACAGACATCAGCACGTGCGTATGGCCCTTTTTCATACTGCCATAGAAGTGCCCTGATATGGAGCAGAAAACAGAAGGGTAGGGAAAGGACTTCTCCTTCCCCTGTATGTTCTCCACCCCAAAGTTCTTTCTCCTCAAAAGGTACTGATTGTATTCCTACATTTGTTACTCCCAACCCAGTACCCCCATGATGATATGTCAGAATAGTGCACATTTGGGGGCAAAAATGTTTTTGATCATTCATGGGGGGTACAGTGGGGGTGTCCCTTGGGGGTCTCTAAGAACTCTTGGTGAGATAATGCAGCCCCCTAGCCTTAAACAGTTTTCCACCTTGCTCTAGATCCTTCCTTATATAAAAATGACAGAAGCAGTGATTCAATAACAAACCTGTACTTGTCAGTGTCATACATTCGACATGCTCCTGTACCACCACACTTCTTTGTTCCCCATTTCAAACATGTGCTGTCAATCATAGCTCCAAAATAAATAGGTGATGGGATTCCAGCTACATGGGATATAACAAGGAGACAAGAAGATAGCAGTAGTTATTTCTGAATGATTTTATAACTGACTTATCCGTTCTGCTGCTGGAGATGATCAGGCCAAAACTTCTGAACTCCTTTCAAGCACCCTCTATTATTTTCAGATGGGAACCTTAAAATGTTTATTGCTTTGTATTTCTATATTTCTATATTTATCTATTTTAGAGTTGCCAGACTGAAAACTATAGAGGGCTCCTATACCTTTAATGGTTATGTAGAAGAGGAAATTTCATCAGGTGTTCCTGATCATGCAACCAGGTAACAAGCAACTTGCTGAAATTCTCTCTTCCACACCACCATTAAATGTACAGGAGCCGTCTCCACTTTTCAATCTGTCAACCCTATTATGATATATACACATATACCACATTTGTCCCCAAAACATGTTCAAGGCAGGTGAATATGGCATACAAATTGCAAAGAAAATCTTTTTTAAAATATAACATTAACATGAATAAATTAAAAACACAATAAAGAAAATGCCCAAATCCAACTGGTTAGATTCTCCTTCAATATTAAACTGGGATACACAGCAAAGACCTGAGTACACGGAAAGTTTTTGCCTGTTTAACAGTGTATGTCTTGTTGTTAACCACCCTTGACCTAATCTTGACTCATGACGACCTTGTGGATGAGACATCTCCAAGATTCCCTCTCTTCCACTATTCTTCTTAGCTCTTGCAACTTTGTACCCATGATTTCCTTAATAGAGTCCATCCATCCAGAAGACAGTCTTCCTCTATTTATACTACCCTCTACCTTTCCTAGCATTATTGTCTTCTCATGATGTGGCCAAAGCCTCAGCTTATGAACCAACTGAAGTGATTTCCCCTCATCCTCAGCATGACCAGGCTTCGCAATGCACGACCAAATCCTCAATTCAAGTGCTATCTTCATGATGTAAGGCACCAAACCCACTCTTTCCATCCCTTAAACTGGCTTAAAATAGCTTTTGTAGGAAAATCCAGAGCACTCTGCAGTGACACCTGGCAGCTGTTTACACATGCATCCTTGCTTTGTCACCTGCTGCCACCTCCATAGCCACGTCACAGCCTCTGAGGTCACAGCAAGATGCCCAGCCATGTGATCGAAGCTGGGCACCCCATTTCTGACTTCAAGGGGACTAATTTGTGCCAGTGATGGCAACACGGTGGGATACGACCATAGACAGCCACCCCCACATCACTACGGTGTGCAAAGGTAAGAGGAGAAATCCAGGGCAGCTCTGGGGCCAGAATACTCTGGGAGCAACCTGAAATATTCTGGCCCATGTAGATGAGCCCACAGTGTTTGCAGGCCTTAGAGAGAAGGCCAACAATAGTAGGGAAGTGGAGGCAAGTCACAGTCTCTCAACCTCAGAGAATGGCAGTGGAAAACCCTGTGGGTTCCGAGGAAGAGTTGGTGTCAAAGAGGGGAAAAGACAGACAAAAGTGTGGTAAAGGGAGAGAGAAAGAGAAGGGGAGGCAGAGAGGGAGACTGAAGAAGGAAGGAAAGAAGGGAGAAGTTCCCCTGTTCATTTTACCTCTAGCTTCCACCCATCACTAAGATTACCATTCTGAAAATGGTACAGGATTCTGTAATGGTTGTGTTTAATGGTTGTGTTTAAGAGGGAATTCAGCAGGTGTTTGTTGTCATACAACCAAGTAAGGAGCAAAACCTGCTGAAAATCCCCTTTTTGCACAGCCATAGAAAGTGCAAGACCTGCCTCCAGTTTTCACTCTGGCAAACCTACAATGATAAAGCTGAGGGAATACAACCCACATTAGGAAAAAAATGTGATTTCTATTTGCATGTGCTTATGTAAAAGACTAATGCATGATTTACAGGGAGTGGGCCAAATATTACAAACAACCACAAAGCTATACCCTTGCCCACTGGATCACAGATCTTCACATTTGGCAAAGGTTCACAATCACCTGGAGGTGCCCTTAAAGTACAGCCATCTTCTCACAGAGACTGAGAAAGTCATTTTTTGTTTAACAATAATCCCCAAAATCCCCAGGAAGCTCAGGGATAAATCAGAGTGAGTCAGAGGGCCACCCTATGGAATCATATTATTGAATCCCCTCTACTTTTCCTCCATAATTTATTTTAAGCACTAGTCCAGTAGCTTCACACAGAATGTATCTAAAGCTTGGAAAAGCTACTTTTTTTATCTTTCTGGGCAACAGTGGGAATTTTCATCCACAATGGTAAGTTTTCCAAGTTCTCATCCTATCATGTTGTGAAGTCAAACTTGCCTACACATTGTAAGTTAAATTTCACTTCAGTGGACAAGTTCACAGAATCACAGAGCTAGAAGTGACTGTAAGGGCCATCTAAGTCCAACACCCTGCCATACAGGAATATATAATTTAAGTACCCCTGATAGGTGGGCATCCAACTTCTTTCTAAAGAAGGAGAGTCCATCACTCACCTTCTACCCCTAGATGGGAATATAAAATAACAAACTTGCCTTACCAAAAGTTCTTTCTGCCAGGGAATGGAGACCCACACCAAATGATTTCAT